GATGGAGAGTTTGTACTTATGTCCTGAGAAATGTTTATTTTTCTTTTTCCTTTCACAGGATCTAGATGATATAGAAGATGAAAACGAACAATTGAAGCAAGAAAATAAAACCCTCTTAAAAGTTGTTGGACAGCTGACAAGGTAGAAGATTCAAGCCTCAATGAGGAAAGATTTAAAAACTACTGATTGAACGTTAAGGTCAATATAGTAATACTTCCTGTGTTGCAGTATGTTATAATAACTGTCTTTATATTTATTGTTAGGAAACCAGATGAATGTTTATTTTCATAGTACTTTCTTCTTAATTCAATGAAATGGCATCAAATTTGGGGTATATTTTTAGCTTTCTTTTCACATAAGAATAATTAAATTTCTTGACATATTTCAAAATAGTAAGTTCAAAAGTATTTCAGTTTTGTATCTTCAGATTACATCTGCATAAATTACAGTAATTTAAAATATTACAGTAATTTAAAATTCATAGCACCAAGATCATTTTCACTCCATGTGGTTGTATATTTTTGAAATGAATGGAAGCAATACATATAAGCTTTGTTTACACAGATCCAAAATATATATTTTGGAAAATACTTCCTCTTTTGTTTAAACAGCTGTAAAGTGGATGCCTTATTACTGATGTGTAACATTTTGCAGATTGGTTACTTGCTCTAAAACTCATGTATGTTGAGGGGTTTTTACCATATCTGAAAGACTGACAATAGTAGAGAGTAGCATTTTTTTTTTCCCTGTATAACAGTATTCTGGCAGGAGGGGGAGGTTTTATTAAAAACAGACAAAAAACCCAAACCAATAAACCACCTGTGGTATCAGCATTAATGAGTTCTTAGAATCATATTGAAGTTGTGCACTGCAGTTTATTTTAAAGCTTTTGTTTTAGCAATGAAATGCAAGTTTGCTATTAGGCAGTAAGTGTGTTTGCTGTGTTGAGAGTTCAGACAAAGCCTGGAGCTTTCATTTTAGCAAAGACACTTTTGCAATACTCTTCTACTTAAAGCTGTCATCTTAAAATTTGTAGTGATCATAACCAATGTGAGTTTTTTGATGTTTTCATTTTTTAAGCTGAGAGAGAATTTTTGTACATAACATAGTAGAGAGGCATACGAGTGATCCATGCCCTTTTGAAACATCAAATGATTTAAAAAACCTTTTATCCTTCCTTGATTTTAAACTAACAAGGTGTTTAAAAAGTGCCTGTTTAGATGTTACAATCCAGTTAATGACTGCGTACTGATTCTTCTATAACATAATAGTAGACAAAATTTTCATTTGACATTAACCACAGACCTCAGTTAACAATTCTCTTCTTAAAATTCTTGTTAGGCTGAAATTTGATGTACTTTATTTCATCTTAATACAGCACATTTTTCATTCCTGATCAGAATAAATGTATGTGTCATTTGAGTCAGGACACTAGAAATGGAAACATGTTGAAGAGGTCAGGCTCTTTCTTGACGATTTTGAAGTTTGGTGTCAGAAGGGTGTATGCATATAGTTTTTGTTACCTTAAAACTTCAAGGCAACTTTAATATATAGTAACAATCATCTTTTCATATTTGCCAATTGTTTTCATAATGCATATTTAATGACTGTAAGAGTTTCTTAAATTTCAAATCCAGGTATTATTGCTACACCTTGGATTGTTTTGGATATAGGATAGGTTATTTTGTATTTGTGTATTCTAATGAGGAGGAACTTTTCAAAGCTTTAAAGTATTTTTCAAGACACTTATATTCCAAGATGCCTTGATGTTTTCCTTCACAGTGGATGAGATCTCATGGGACACCACTTAAAACCTTTATTCAGGGTTTGACATGGTATGGGAGGTTTGTATAGGTCTTCTGAACTATGATATACACCAATGAATACTTCTTTTAATATTATGCAAATGGTACGAAGTCCCTTAATTTATCAGTTGCATGAAATTAAACATCTGAAGTAATAAAAAATCAGTTGAGATGTATGCCTTCTGAATAAATATGAGACTTTCTTTGGAAGAACATCTGATTTCCTTCTCTGTGTACTAGGTAGGAAATACACATACCGATTTACGACATGGGATGTCAAACATACTGAAGCGTCATTAAGGAGTTAATGCAGAACACACAGATATTAATATGAAGTTGTAAATAAGATATTTCATAAACTGTATTTTACATACATTTTAAACCAAAGAACAATAACAACAAAGAACATAAACAAGAATTACTTTTCTTCATATTACCTCTTCTTGGTTTGCATTGCGTATTGACTAAAACTTAGCAGCAGTAATGCCAAAATTAGAATTTTTTTTTTAACTTGGACATCCAGCTGACAGGAATATTTGGCAGAAGTACTTCTGATAACCTGCCTTGAAGAGGTACTGGCAAGGGAAGTTTCCAAAATATTTGAAACCAGTAATGCTTCAGGCAGAATGTGTGAACAAAGGAACTATTGGGAACCCACAGATAAAGTACCTCAGGACATTATTGGTGTTGTGTGTTATTATACAAATGTAAAGCTCTTCATGGTTTTAAAAATTTCCACAAATTGTATCTTGAAGCATAACACTTCTGCTGACAGTTTGGAAGATTTAAATAGCTTTTTTGAAAAAAACTATATCTGTAACAATTTATTATCACTGACATTATCAGGCTCTTGGGAGAAGTTTACTAGATTCTAGGGAAACTGATTACATAGAATGTTAATAATTGTCTAGTCATTACTTGCCATTAACTTTTTATTTCAGTAGGGTACCCTTATAGTCAAGCTCAAAAATAGAATAAGTTTTTATCCTAGGTGATTTGAAGGAGTTAAATTAGCTACCTTACCAGCAATTCACTAACCCACGTCCTCACTAGTGCAACACCTCGGTTGCTCTCAGTTGTGTGATTTAAAAGAAGAGAGACTGCTGTAAGGGGGAACCCACCTCAGTTGGGAAGGCTATATGATTCCTGAATGAATCTGGGTATTAATGTTCCTACGCTAAATTAATTTCCTAGGGCTTTCTCTTTTGGGAGGAGGAGTGTGCATTAGTATGCAATATTAACTGTATGGGTAAGTCTTTTGGGAGATTTCTGAACTTTCATGTCTTAAAATTCATACCAAACCGCTTAGGTCTAGCATCTGTGTTCTGGGTAACTTGGGTCATCTAGGAAATCTAACCAGAAAAGTACTCCCATTGACTAAAGCAAATAATTATTTTTTCAAGGTACTTTAATAGTGGACAGCACATAATTCCTATTTTGATAATGCAAAATGATAGTCCTGTTATGGTCACACACTGTTGTATAGAAAACATATACTACATCCAGAGCTGAAGGATAAAATTGTGCAGAAATATTTTTATCATTGATAATATGCACTGATGTTTGTGGGATTTATTCCCTAAAGAAGTCCGACCATACATAAATGTTGGCAATTTTTACAAGGAAATTCAAATTCGCTCATTTTTAAAATAATGAAATGGCCATGTTTAAGTTCACTGTTACTTGATGTATATATTAACTGAAAGAGTACAGTCTGTATTTGCAAATGAGTGGTTTTTCTCACTGGTTAATTACCAGATTTGTATTTATACCTCTGAGGATTAGTTACTTCTGTGTTAGATTGACTCTGAATTTGGTAGAGTGAGAAAAGAAGGTAACAAGAAATAAATCAATTCCTTCCAAAGTAGGAAGTATAACCTATTGAGATTTTTTTTTTTTAATTCAACTGTACTGAGAATTAGCTGTGGAAAGATTTGTGATTGGCATAAGCACTACAAAAGATACAGGGGTGTTAGTATGTTGGAAACAACCGACTAACCTACATCAAAGCTCTTTCAACTTGTCTGGTATCATTACAGCTTGGAAATTTGCTACCATAAGAGAGACCAAAAGCAATACTGGAGATCAAATTACTTTTTAACATTTTGCTAGGACAGCAGAGTTACACTGACTCCAGCTATTTTATGGTTTTCTCTAAGTTCTTTGTGGCTATTTCCAGCTTGAATTGAAACAGATCAGTATTAGTAGCCAAGAGGAAAGGTAATCATTGGGAAACAAATACATGTGTAATAACTATTGATACCATTAACATATGATTGAGTGTCAGTATTTCTTCAACTCAGACCCTTCAAGAAGATGTCAGTTAAGTTGATCCATTTGCATCAGTATTACTGATTGCCAATGTCTGACATTTTTAATAAGAAACAACTATTTTAGCTGGAGAAATTACCATTGCAAGACACAATTTAAAAACTTAGTACGATAAGAAAACATTTGTGCTGGTACCTGTAGCTGCTGAGACTAAAGAGCTAAAGATTATACTTAAAAGTTTTGTTAGAAATGAAACAAATGAATTCTGGATCTTTTCATTTAGTTTGATATAGAAATTCACTACAGATCTGTTCCATGCTAGTCATTCTAGTGTCGATACCTGCAAAAGATACTGACACTAGTATTTCTAGAAGCACATCTATTTCTGTTCTTAAGCATTTCTTTAGGACTGCTTCAATGTATCCAGGACAAAAAGAGCTTTGACATGTATATTTCAGTAGCATTCATGGTCTTCCAAGTATGTTGACTTACTGTAGCAAATCTCTGTCTACCATTTTTCCTTAACTGTAGCAGATGTACATTACCTTGTTAATTTGATCCTTTTGCTTTTATTTCTGGATTTCTGGTGTAACTGTTCTTGTTCAGGGCTAGTTGTGATTTTTCTGTTCTGGAAAAATTGTGATAGTTGAGTTTTCCTCTGCAAATAGTCTCATAATGTGGAGTCTTTTTTTTTTTTTTTAAATATCGGTTTTATGCATTTAAAAAGTTGAAGCATCATTAAGCTACAAATAACTAAATATCCATTTTAGTTTTGAACATTGATTAGTTGTGATATTATTTGTGGTATCAGCTTAAAAATGATGTTGAGGTTCTTACTGTTGCAGGTAAAAGATACGTGTTAAACAATAAAGACTGTGTGCCTTTGTCCAAATAAAACTAAAATCTTTTTAATCCAGGCTGACTACTTACTGTGTTTAAAGAAGAATTAATATTGTCTGACTAAAATTCTAACTGGATTTGTCACCCATACTGGGAAGCTCCCAACCTGAACTGCTAGAATTATTTTTACATTCAGATTCACTTCTTCAAGCATGTGTGTTTGCAGGCACACAAGAGAGAAATCTGCGTATTTCTACTACACTAATTTTCTGCTTTGGGAATGTAGTGAGTACCCTTCCATCAATTCGATGGAAATGACCTTTTCCCGTACCTCAAAGCTGACATATAGCCCTTCCCAGGAAAAGGTCATGAAGGA